CCAAAAGGTGATTTAATAATGAACTGTACATTCAATATATCAACTCAACACAATAATAATGATTTATACAATTGTAGTTATTCAAAAATCAATATTGATTCAATTAAAGATGGTAATGAACAATTATATTTAAAAATAGGTGAATCTAAATATCCAATCAATTCAACATTAAACTTTGAAAACAAAAAAACTGACAACAAAAGTAGTACATTGAAGAAAGCATTAATACCAACATTTGTCGGTGGTGCTGCATTGTGTGCTGCTGCATTTATTGGTTATAAATATAGAGAAAATATTTTAAAAAAAATGGTAAATCAAATGTGTAATTATAAGAACTAAATAGTTTAATAAATAAAAGAAAGAAAGAAATAAATAAAATATTAATATATTGAAAAATAATAAAACAATTATTAAAATTAATTTGTCAAGATTCTTTATTTAAAACTATATTAACTATATATTATTTTTGTTTATTTAAACCGTGAGTCTAATTTTTTCATCTTAAAGCCATTACTAAATTTTTTCAATAACTAAAAAATTTATCTCTTGATTTTTTTGGGTAATTGGACCTACAAGGTCTATTCCTATAGTTGCAAATGGTTGTGATTTAACTTCAATTGGTAATAGTAATCGAGGAGCTTTACCATATGTCTTTATATAACCTAAATGTCCACTTGTGTAAGGAGAATCATGAAAAGCTTTGAGTATAATATTTATTCCGCATAACTCCAAATAATTGTAAAAAATTGTGATTCAATAAGTATTTGTTTTGCTAATTTTTCTTCTTCAGGTAATTCATAACTTTCTAAATAAATATATTTTGAACCTAAAAATCGATCTTTCTACATTTCTTATTTGAGGTATTCTAGATTAAAACGGATTAAAGTATCTGCATCATTACTATTATTATGAATACTGTTAATTTCCATTCTATTATCTGCTACATTATTTTTTATTTTACGCCCATTAAATTAACATCTAAATTTCTTGATAGCTTGGACAATAGCAAAACATTCCTTTTCAGGTACCTTGCTTGAGCATCATTTAAGGCTTCTGAAAATACAGCAACGATATTGTTATTTTGAATTAATATAATGCCAATTCCAATATTATGCATCAGTTTTTATTATTTAATTCGCAATCGGATGGAAATGCTAAAATTGGAGCTTTACTAATAGCTTTAATGATGTTTGACGAGCTTCTTCTAAGTCGGATGTCTATTCAAACTCGAGATTACTCCTTAATAATTTGTAAAATTTTGATACTAATCGAGTGTAATAGCATTGGTTTATAATTTATACAGAGTCTAACTTTATCTACTTCAGGAACTAAAACTATTTGAAATCCATATTGACTGCTTGTGGCGGGTCTGATAATTCCTTTTTCAAACATATCTTCGATTTTTTCTTCAATTATTTTCTTTTCATCAGGAGTAGTTTTAGCTGGAAGACGTTTCAATGCTTTTTCATAGTCGGTTAATTCTATTTTATGTTTAATTCCTTTAATTTGATCTGGAACAAATTCACCACTAATTCCAATAAATAAATCTTCATTTTCTTTAACTTAACTTCTAATTCTGTTGGAATTTTCTCTAATTGTTTTTCTGTATTCTCTAATTATTTTTCTGTGATTGAATTACACTATTAATTTCATGGGCTTTACTAAAAACTTTCCATTTATCACCAGTACTATAAGATATGTAACTTTCTTTTTAAATTAAATACATGATATCTTCTTTTTTACTTTAACCTACTGTGTTTTTCATTAAACCAGGCGATTTTAACATTACAAAAAAAAAAACAAAAGAAATATAAAATTTTAAATTAATTTTTTAAAAAAAAAAAAAAAAAAATTTTTTAATTTTTCCAAATTAAAATAAAAAAAATTTTAATTTCTTTTTTTTTTTATTTATTTTCTAAAACGAAACAGTTTTAGAAATAAAAAATATGTTGTTTTTATTGTAGTTATCATATTGTTGTTGTTATTTTATTTTTTTTCTATTCATTCCAATGTGTTATTATTGTATAATTGGGTAATTTCAACAAAAAAAAAACCATCATCCACACCCAACCAATTAAAAAATAAAAAAATCAATAAAAAGCATGCCAAACATTAATAAAATATAAACAATTTTAAATTATTTTGTGTTTGTGCTTTAAAATTTTATTTCACATATTATTATTTTTCATCAATCATCATAATTTTTCTTTAGAAATCATAATGGCAACAAAAATATATATATAAATAAATATAGAAATAATAAATATATAAATATATAAAATTAGAATACAACCACTTAAAAATTTAAGTTTTTTTTTAAAAAAAAGCAATTTATTTAATCACCACTACTATTAATGCAATTTAAATTTTTTTAATAGCATTAAATATTTCGTTTCATGATATTGATTTTGATATATTTATCATAACTATTTTTAAAATCATCACCGAGTTGAGACTCTCTAAACAATATTTATTTGATTTTGATTTTTAGTTTTAAATTATCACATTAAAAAAATAAAATTAATTTTACAATATTATATTTAAAATAATTTTACAATATTATATTTTAAGTGAAAGAATAAAAATTGATATTATTGTTAAATTATAATAAAATTAATTTACGGTTTTTGATGGCAAAAAAAAATTAAAATTACGGTCGGAAAAATATCTTCATCGCTTCACATAATTAATAAAAATTTCAAATAAAATAAAATTCCAAAAAAAATATTTTGCTGATTTTTGAAAAAATGCAAACCAAATTAAAAAAATAAACATTTCCTTTTCAAAAAAAATAAAATAATTAAAAAAAAATTAATTTTTAATTTTTAAAAAAAAAATACCACTCACAATATTTTTTATAACATAGTAATATCTTTAGTAATGATAAATAAAAACAGATAGTAATAATTACAATCCTTGCAACCTCAGCAAAGAATTTAAATTAACATTAGACATATTCAAAAAAAAAAAAAAAAGAAACTTCCTTGGTTACTTAAATAAATGTAAAGTTTTTTATGATTCAAACTTTGAATCATTAAAGGTAAATATAAACACTATTTCTCATATAACAGAACGTGGTAATTGATTACAAAAGATATTCAGTATTAACTAATGATATAAAAATAGTTTATAGAAATAATTAAAAAGAGGTTACTTAATCACTGCTTCAATAAACATTCAACTTTGAGCAAATAAGTGCGAATATAAAATTTTAAAATGGTTTGAAGAGGTATTGGAAATAATCATTCAAGAACATGAATATAATCATATTATAGAAGAACACCACTCAAATCTAATATAAATACCTGAAAAATGTTAAAATTAAAAAGTAGTTGCAACAACAAAATAACAATAAAAATAAGATTACACACAATAATAATTTTAGTGGTAGTAATAAAAATAATTTCAAAATTGTGTTGTAAGCACAGAAATAGATGATAATAGTAGTAGTAGTAATAATGATAAAACCAGAAACAGCACAAATTTTTTTGGTACCACTCAAAGAACTGAACAATAGTAACTAAAATAATAGTAATAAAATCAATACATTCAATGAGTTTTAAGAAATACAAATAACAGTAATAGTATTAATTATAATAGACTCAAATTGGGTAATAATAAAAATTCATATGGCAATTTAATGAATTTTGCAAATTATCAAGATAATCTTAGAAATGGTATTCAAGATGAAAACATATGGAAATTTAAATTGAAAATATAATATATAGCAATAATAATAATAATAAAAACATACGCAAAAGATTAGATTCGAAACCTTATTAGAAGTTATAAGCTCCAAAATAAAGTAATATCTACCTCTAGGTTATAGTAATAATAATATTAAAATATATTCAAATTTGTTTTTATTTGTTTATAATTATTTCTTTTTATTTATTTGTTTTTGTTATATTATTTGTTCTTTTTATTGCCTCTTTAAATTTGGTCGAGTTTTAAATGTTAAAAATAGAACATTATTTATTTTTTTGTTAAATATTAAAAGGAAATCAAGAAAAATTTATAATGATGAAGATACAACGTTGTATATAATTTCATTAAAAATTAACAATCAAACTTAGATAAAAAAAAAAGCGGATAAGTGTGTGTTGCTCGTTTAACAAAAACATAATTTTATCAAAACACACACTCAATATGCAAATATTTCAAAAGCTTTACTTATTTTTTTATTTATATTAAATTTTTTATCTTGTGCATAATTTTTTGTGTGTTGATTCTTGGGGGGAAGTGGGGTTTTTTTTTGTTTCTATTGTGTTGAAAGATAACAACATTCCCCATATCACTTTTTTTCTTGAGCGAATAAACAATCACATAGTTTTTAGATTGCCACTTCAATATTACAATTACTTAATAATAAAAAAACATAAAAAAAATTAATTCATTATTTAAATTTATTTTACATATTAATTTAATATGGACATGTTGTAATATTTTTTTTATTTGTTGTATAATGGGGTGTATGTTGAATTAATTACCAATTTGTTATAAAACTTCAAATATTTTTTTTTATATCATATTGAAATTTGTATAAAATTTATAATCAACCAAAAATAATTATTTAATATATAATAGTATATGTAATGTATTATTTTTTATGTACAGACCCAATATATTTACCCCCTCTACCCACAAATGTGTTTAAATTCATATTATTATTTATATTAAAACACAAGACAATAAAAATAAAAAACTTGATTCACACCCACTACCACTAATTTTTATATTAATTCAATGTGTAATTTCTCTCATAAATAAAGTAAATACACCTATACATTAATTTTTATTTTTTTATTGTAATAATTTAAAAAACTATTATATCATATTCACTAAATAAACTTTTTTTATTAATATAATTATTTCTCTTTTTTATTAATTTTAAATAATAAAAGTAATAATAAATAAAATAATTTTTAAAATGAAAAATAAACAATTATTAAAAATAAAAGAATATAAAAAATCAAATAAATACTGGTTAGAAAAGTCTGAACTCAATGATGATTTAGAATATGAAAATGATAGTATATTTTTTTCAAAATCAAAATCATTGAAAAGAAAAAAGGAAAAGAGTTATGAAAACGATAATCTTCCAAAATACAGTCCAGATAAGCCATATTATGAAATTTTTGTCGATGAAGTAGTCACTAAAACCATTTATGTAACCGATTTTGACATTTGCTGTTGTGATATAAATAAAAAAAGCTACTATAAAATTCCCCTTACTATTGGAAAATTTTCAATAATAGATCTGTTTGATGCACCGGATGAGGAAGTAGTACTAAAGCCACCCAAACCAGCAACTCCAGTATCACCATCATCAACTGATAATAACTACAATCAAGATATAAAAAAAAAGAAGAGTATATAAATTTAAAAACATTTGTTTTTATTTTTTAAATATTATTTACTAATATAATTTTACAATAGTCCTAAGAATTAAACAAATTAGGAACTTGTGTAATAAATTTCAACAAAATAAAAAGAAAATTCCTTATTACAAATTTAAATATTACAATAAACATAAAAAAAACAATTCAAAGTATTGTTAATGACTATTGATTTATTTTTATTTTTATTTTTATATTTTTTTTTATTTATTTATTTTATTAATTTGTTTTATTAATTTATTTATTTTTTTATTTAGTTAGTATAAATAACTTTTCACTCATCATAAAGAAATTTAAATAAATACACATTAAAATTGTAGTAAAAATATCCTGTCATATTAATTTTTTAATTGTTATAAAGTAAAAAATATGGTTAGTGTCCTATTTTTTAAGGAAAAAAATTATTTATCACACCAATTTATAAAAAAAATACATTTTAAAATTGTTTGTAAAAATCTTATCATATAAAAAGTTCATCAGCGTCCCCTCCAAATACCTTAAAGAAAGTGTTAAAAAACAGTGAGATTTAAATCACCACCCTCCAAATGCTCAATTTTGAAATTATCATAATTTTTTAAAAAAAATACCACCACTTTTTAAAAAAAAATTAAAAAAAAAAATCACTTTTATTTTACCCATATAATTGTTTACACAATAATTAAAATTTTATTTTTACTTTTTTTTTTTTTTTTTAATTTCTTTTTAAAATAAAGTTTTTTTATTACAATATAAAATCGAGGGTATTAAAAATAAAAAGTTTCAAAAAATTTAATTTATAAAAAAAAAAATCTTCATTAAAGATAATTTGCATAAGCTGGGATATTTTAAAAAAAAAAAAATTTTAAATTTTTTAAATTTTTTTGTTTTTTTTTTTATTTATTTATTTATCACATATACACCAAAACTATTCTTTCGTCAGTAATTATTTATGATTTTGTATTTTATAAAAATAATAATAAAAAGCATCAGTAACTTTTTTTAAAAATAATAATGATAGTGAAATAATGTTGGTGTTGATGCTCTTAATGATCCATTTCAACTTGCCTCAACTTTAAAAAAAGAAAAACAAAAAAATCAATCGAAAAAGAGTAGGTATTATGTAACAACCAATTAAATTATAATTAAATACTAATTTAAAATTTATATTTATTATTAGAGTTACTATTAGTAATTACAATTGATCATATAATCAAAGATATATGGGTCATGATATCAAAGTCAACGATAATAGTTTTTTAGCTTGGTTAGTTTTATTAAAATAACATTAAATGAATTGGTTAATATCATTAAAGATAAAGAAAGATCAATTATTGATAGTGAAGTAAAGTTGGTATAAATATTCAATAATCAAATAGTTAGTATAAATATAAAAATAAAAATAAAAATAAATCAATTATAGATATTGGCAATAATGGATTGTGATTTAGAAATTGATGAAGGTTTTTTGTTTTAGAATCAGATCCAGAAGAAACTAAATATAAATTAGATGAAGAAACTGAAGATGAACTTGAACTTAAAGATGAAGATGAAAATGAAATTTGAAAATTAAGAACCTCATTCAGAATGGACTAATATTTTACTGTATGAATATTAAAAGCAAGTCTAAAAGAATCACTTCCATCAAATTTCCTCCAGTTAGAGATAAAGTTGTTCAGCATGTTTTTGTTTTTTTATATTTTTTAGACTTTCTCAATCGTTAAGTTATTTCAACAAATAATTACAAATAGCATAAATTAATTTCAGCAGATTCAACACCACAATCATCACCATCAAATTCAGCACCACAAAAGATTACTTAACCATGGTATACCGTTTATGATGATTCTACTAGAAGTGATTGGTTTTACTTTATAAGTGATTAAAAATTTATTTATCAATTTTCTTATATGCTGGTTCAAATAGAATTACAAACATTCAAAGGTTTTTGGGATAACTATAGCTCTACTGTTGCAAATCCAATGTCATTTTGAAAGTTTAAAGCTATCGTCATTAAGAAAGGTTTAAAGCTATCCAATACTATTTTTTACTATCTCTTCTATTTTCACAAATATTATTATACTTTCATTATTTATTATATGATTGTTTTTTTTTTTGTAGTTAATAAATTGTTTAAAATTGTGCCTTGAATAAAAAAAAAAAAAAAAAAAAAAAAACAAGTATTAAAAAAAACAAATAAAAAAATAAATTTGTTTTTTTTTTAAATCAGTTCTCTAATAATGAAGCTCAATAGAAAAATAACAATTTTTATATATAATAAAAATATTATTAATTATAAATTTACATATAAAAAAAGTGTTTTTAGTGTGAAAAATAGTGTGGGTGGGTATATTTAGGGTTAATTTTTATAAATTTAATTTTTGCAATAAAATTTGAACTTAATTGTGATATATATTTATATGTACATAAATTCCTATAATCAATTAAAAATATATCTTAACTTTATAGTTAAAAAGAACCTATAATATCATGTAATAATACAGAAATATATAACTTTTATAAAAAAAAATTAATAAATAAATTAAATTATTATTTTTAATTTAATTTATTATTTTTTTTTTTTTTTTTTTTTTTTGAATTTTATTTTTTATTTCTATTTTTTTTATTATTTTTAATTTTTTTCTTTTTTTTTATTTTCAATTTTGTTTTGATGATGTCTCCAAACACCATATACACCGCCAGCAAAAAGTAAAGTCAATCCAATTGATAATGTTGTTGCTAATGCAATAGTTTTTGTTTTTTTCTTATTATCTTTGGCTGGTATATGTTCAATATTATTAAATGACGAATAGATTGTATTATTTCCCAATTTAAGTGTAAATGGAATCGTAAGAGTTGTATTACTACTTTCTTTATCTTCTAATATAAAATCTTTGTTAAAGTTATGTGGTAGAGTTAGTTGACATGTAATTATATCGATTGTACAGTTTTTGTTATTCTTAGTACCATGGTATAACATTGAACAGTTTTTAGTTGCAAAAGTTGTATTATAAACTGTAGGCAAACCAATATCGTATGGTTCTCCAAAGTTAAATCCAGTTATATCAAGATTAATTAAACTTTGTTGTTCATCATATTGTATTTTAGAGTTGTAAACAATACCTTCTTTTCTATTAATTTTATTTGATTTTGAAAAGATTCCATTTAAAAAGAGCTTTAATATGGATGATGATACACCTTCTTTAATATGAACTGATATGTTATTGCCTTGGAAATCAATCATGGTAGCTTCATCATTAAAAGTTGCACTTAATAACTTGTTTGGATCAGTTTTAGATGAATATGTTTTTAAACCATCACAATAGAAATTAACCACTGGTTCTGATTCTAAACAACCAAATGATGTAGGATACAATTGTTCATTAATAAGTTTACATTTGACAAGCTCCATTATATAACTATCTGATATAATACCATCAATTGTAATCGATATTTTTGAAGATATTTCAACTGATTCTACTTTAAATTTAATTTGATAATGGTCTATTACTTGACACTCTTTTTCTATACCATTATATGTAATATTGCACAATGATGAATTTGTACCAAAATTAGCACCATAAAGTATAACAGTATTTATTGGATCATTATATTCGACACTATGTTTTAAAACTTTGGGTTTTGCATATGAGTACTCTATTGTAACATCTTTGTTTGCAAATGTTATAGTTGCTTGTTTTGTACCAGTACCAGGTATAACATTAAAAGAGTATGTGTTGTTTACTTTAGTTCCAATTGATTTTGAGTTTTGAATTTTGAATAATGGATTAAAAGTATTACTTTTATAATATTTACAATCATAATATGAAAGTAAAACTATTAATGGCGTTTTAGAATCTGTAGATGGTGGCGATATAATTTCAACATTTGTATTTGCATTAATAGTATATTCATTTGATTTTAAACCATTTACAACTAATTGAACAATAGCACTTCCACAAAAGAATGGAATCTTGAATACCGATTCAGTTTCATCAGTTTGTATGGATAATGGAAATATTATTTGTTTTATATTACTATCATATGTTACAATAACTTGTGTAGAATTATCATTATAACTACCATGGTATTTACCTTGTATTGTAAAGATGGAACCATTTTGTGTGACACTGGAAATAACAGGTTTTGCATAATCATAAATTAGGTTATTTATACTGCATATATTGTTTACACACACTTGAATTGTATTTTGATTATTATCAACTCCTTTTGGTAATGTACATTTGATATAGGTTAAATTGCTAGGTGGAATAGAGTTACATAATTTGCCGAAAATTGTAATTTTTAGATCATTTTGGTCTTTTTGAGATAAAAGTTGAGTACCAGTAATTTCAACAATACCTTCATTATACTTTGTAGCATTTGTGGAATATGAGGCTGGGTATGGTGGGATTTGTATTGTATTATTAGTATAAAGCGAATCAATATTAATTGAAATATTTAGTTCTTGAGAGTATATAGATGAATAGTTCAAAACCATTTCTTCATAACCAATTGATGTGATATCACTTTCTTTTAAAAGTGAACCATTAATATATACAAATACTATGGTAATCTTTCTTTCTCCATATGTGGTATTATAAAAATTATCACCTTTAATAGTAAGATGATGATTGGTGGCATTATAATTCACTAATGAGATCGATGGACTTTGAAATGACAAGTCATAGCATTGTAGTTGATAGTAATCTAAACAAAATTTAAATTTACCATAACCACGTGGAAAAGTAATTGAAAGAAAGTTTGGATTATAGTTTGGGTCATCATATTCACCGGCAACAGTTACATTTTCATAAAAATCCCATGATTTAAAAAGCGCCACTTTCAAATCACCAGTCCCGAATCTCATGAACTCTCCAGTTACATTAACAACGCCACCCTTTGTTGAAGGTTTATTTAAAAAAGTTACATTGTATGGTTCAAACAAACAATCATTTATTATGGATGACTGAAGGCCACATTCGGTTTTATTTGTTTGAATATCAAATACACAAGCATCTACTGTAGACCCATAATATTTTTTACTATCCATAGTTGATACATAGGTAATTCTGTCAAAAGTATAATTAAAAAGCTCGGGATTGGAGAATTTAGACCATGTAAATTTAAGATTTAAATATGGAATTTTAAAATATGGATCTTTATATATGGTTATATTAAGTGGAACTTGTTCATATAATCCTGCAAAGTCAACAACTATTTTTCCATATGAAGAATGAACATCTAAAATTATTTAAATTAAAATAAAAATTTTAATATATAAAAAAAAAATATAATTAAAAGAATCTAAAACTTACGATAACCAAAGCATATTGACAAATGAACCAAAAACACCAAAATTACAATTTTATTTTTTTCTTTAAACATATTTTTTTAAAAACTATCAAATAGTAAAATTGTTTAATATTATAACTTTATTAAAAAAAACAAATAAAAAAAAAAAACAAAAAAAAAAAAAAAAAAAAAAACACACAAAAAAACACACAAACAAGTAAAAAAAAAAAATAATAACAAATTTGTTTTTTTTTTAAATCATTTCTCAAATAATGAAGCTCAATAAAATATAACAATTTTTATATACAAATAAAAATATTTTTATAATTTTACATATAAAAAAATATTTTTTTAGTGTGAAAAAAAGTGTTAGTGGGTGTATTTAGGGTGAAATTTTTTTTTTATATATAATTTTGGCAAATAAAAATTGAACTTAATAGTGATACTAATGTTGTCATAGATTTGGGGTATAGGTGTTTGTGAACAATACCAATTGTTTTTATTTACAATATATTTATTTTTATTTAAATTTTTTTTTTTTATTATAAAAATAATAAAAAAAATTTATCCATTTGTTATTTTTTTTTAATTACTTATTTTTTATTATTTATTTTTTTATTATCATAAATCATAAATGAAATTAATTATATATATACTTTTTTTCCTTTATTTTATTCAAAATATATCTTCAAAATGCTTTTATAATGATCAAATAATAAAATGCGATCAAAATGACACATGCAATTTGTTTATCTTTAAAGATTTTTCAAATAAAACCTTAATAAACTATGAAGTTAACATTAATGACCCCAACTTAAAAGAAATAGACCTTTTAAACCTTCCAAATGGTTACTTATACTATGACTCTCTTTGCGGTTTTAAAAATATATATTATCCAAATATCACATCAATGGAACCTGTTGATACTAATGGAGGCAATTTATATTTTAAAGCATTTTATTTTTATGATCAAAAATTAAATAAAATCCCAATATATGGTGCAATTAATATGGAATATGCTCCAAAGTTTAATTACATCTACAATAATGAAATAAAGAAATATGTCATTGAAAATTTCCCTCCAGGGTGCGGCCAGTTCCAGTTATTTTATGGAAAAAATTCAATTACTGGAAGTTATAAAAAGCCTATAGTTTCTGAATTTAAAAAAGAAGGATCAAAGAATAAAATTATACTTGTTGGTTCAAATCTTTACAAACCTAAATTAAAAATTACTGGCCCATTTGATTCCACAGACACCATTTCAACTAAAGAATTTAACACATCCTCGGACCCACTACAAGAAATCTCTTATTTTGAAGTTCCTCAACTTTTATATTGTGGAATGTGGGATATCGCTTTGGAAATATGTAATTCTGATTTAAAAGAAGCAAATTTTCAAATTAAAAATGAACCCAAAATTGAAGGAATCACCTCAGTTTCATCAAAAGAAGGTGGAAATGTAACTATTAATGGAATAAATCTATATTCAAGGGTATTTGAAAATTCCTCTAATAAATTATCAGGATATCGCATTACTCTTCCATATAATAAAAATTGTAATGTAATTGAAGCAATCCCGGAAAAAGGTTTATTAATATGTAATATGGAACCATCAAAAGTAAATGAAAAAAAAAAAAATTTAAATTTGGTGCTAACAATTGATGAAAAATATAGTACCAACATTACTTTTTCTTATGAAAGCCCATCTATATCATATGTAAACCAAACAACTTTTCCTTCAAATGGTGAAGCTCAATTTACTATTATTGGTAAATATTTAGATGACCAATCAATAACAATGGTTTCAGTTATGATCCCTGATAAAACTTTTAATATTACAGAACATAATTGCTCTATAATTAGTAAAGACGAAAATAAAATGGTCGTTAATGTTCCACTTAATGCTTACCCTGGATATATCGTTATTTTTTCTAAAGATGATAATGAAATAGTAAAATCAAATGTAGGCCATCTTTCATTTTTACCAAAAATAAAAAACATCTCAACATCAAATACAACTGGTCAAATAGTTACAATTACTGGTGTTTCAGTTCATACTAAAAAAATTGAAGGATCATCAACTGTAAATTTACCTATAAGCATATATGTTGGTAGTGGTGAAAATATTGCAAAGTGTAAAAATCCAAATAGTAATGATGGTATTCATCTAGAATGTTTATTGGAACCAGGAGTTGGTAGGGACTGGCCATTATCAGTTAGCATTGATAAGTACACAATAGTAGAGAAAAACCTTTTCAGTTACAATAGTCCGTTAGTTTCTGGTATTGAATATAATGTAAGTGGATTGGTAACACTATTTGGTTATAATTTTGGAAGAGATCTAAACAAAATATCCATAGTATCTGGAGAAACACAAATTAAAATTTCAAATGTTAACGATTCGTGTTTGCAATTTATGACACCCAAATTACTTCATGGACTTCACTATTTGGATATAACTGTTGGAATACCAGATCATCAAAATATACAGAAACAATATGAATTTGCTGTTAAACCCGTAATTTTAAAAATAAACTCAATCCCCGTAAGTGGAGGTGAAGTTACAATATATGGCAACTACCTTAGCCCAAGAGCTGCTATTTCATTTAGATCTCCAAGAGGAACTCCATCCGGTATTCCATGTAACAACATAACCATATATGAAGATAATACAATATTAAAATGTAACGTTACCGGTATTTCAGGTCAAGAAATTAAACTAGATGGTATTGGTGAAAGAAAAACCACATCAGGACACAATCATGAAATTTTCATGAGCATTAAAGGTAGAAATGCAATAAATCCAGACAATATTACATTTTCATTTTACCCACCAACCGTTTATGGATCTCCTGGTAAAAGTGAAAATCGTTTAATAACAATTTTTGGTGACAATTTCAATAGAATTGGTCTAAAAATTTTTATAGGTAAGGAACAATGTAAATGGCCCAGTGTTCTAAAGGGTTATGAAATAATTACCTGTTTTCTTGACTCGGTTGACAAAAATCAAAAAGCTGAATACCAAAATAAAACTTTTGGTATTTATGTTACAGTTGATGGGCAAACTGCAGAATTGAAAAACAACTTTACTTATTACTGTAATTATAATATTATATAAAAAAGTATATTTATTGAACAACTTATTAATTTTTTATTTCTATTTAGTTAAAGAGGAACCCCCAGTTCCCAAGGAAGCTGAAAAACTATCAATAACAATTCCTCCATCTGTTGTTATTATAGCTGCTGGTGTTTTGACAACTGCCTATTATATCATCTACAAGGTTAAACGTTATATTAGACTTAAAAAAATAGAAAAAATTTTAAACAAAAAATATTATGAATGAATATCAAAATTTTTAAAATAACAAAAAAAAAAAAAAAAAAAAAAAAAAATTAATTTTTACATTTCAATCTAAATTTTAAATAAACTTTTTTATCTTATAATAGTTTTTTTTTTTAATGTGAAGATTTTTAAATATGATACATTATTTATTGTTTTTTTTGGCTATACATAAAAACACTGATGACTTAATTTATATCTGGATGGGTTTGCCATATTGCATAAAAATTGCGCACAGTGTTTGTGTGTGATTCGAAAAACCTGTGTATGAGGTTCGATTGAATCCATAGCGGTGCGTTTTAGCATATTTTAGATTCTCTTGATTCTATCATTTGTAAGGTACTAAGATCAAATAATTAAATAAAATAAACTTTATATGAAATGTTTATTTTTTTTAAAAATTTATTTTTTTAAAATTTCTTTTTTGATAAATTAAAATAATTGTTATTGATTATTATTAATTAATGTTGAGTAATAATCCTTGTTCTTTTTTTTTTTTTTTTTAAAAGTGAAGATGATTCTTAATGATGCATTAAGTCATCAGTTTGTTTATTGTGTTTGTTTTTGTTTGGTGTGTGTTTAATACTTATATGGGTTCTACAATATTCAAAAAAAAATAAAAAAAAATAAAAAAAAAAAATAAAAAAAAATAAAATTTTTTTTTAATTTTTATTTATTTTTCTGCTTCCCAAAATTTTCAAAAAAATAAATCAAGAACCCATCTAAAAAAAATAATAACATAAACATAAATAAATACAAATTTCAAAGAGGCAATTAGATAATAATGCAAATTTAGCAAACCATAAATATAAAAAAAAACAATGAAAGTATGTATGCCAAATCTACATTACACCTCAATTTACTGAAATTAACTTAAAAGAATTAATTTCAGAATCAGATTCAAAATATTACATGTCAGACAAAAGACAAAACAAAAAAAAGAATGACTGTCTTAACAGACAAAATTGAAATAACTTGAAAAATAATCAAAAATGGAGGAATAGTTATTGGCTCAAGAAAAATACAAATAAGAGCAAATAGAAACAAATATGATCTATTCGACTGGAAGCAAGAACCGAAAAAGAAATGAGTGAAATGGGAATAGAAATCCTAGCATATGATCATTCAAACTTAAATATCTATCTTACAGTTCTCGATAGAAATGGTATGATCCCACCACACACAACCTCAAACGGAAAATTTGAACTTAGAATCACAGAGAACAAAAATACAAAAAGTACCAAACCTAACCAACCTCAGGACAGTACGCCACACCAAGCTAATCAAGCTAATCAAGCTAATCAAATTAACCAAATTATTCAAAATCATCAGGACCTTCAGGCTCACCAAGAACCTGACAAAGAAGACCCAACAGCTTTAGAAAAAACCGAAGAGAAAACACATCGACAAACTATAAGGATGACTTCTTCAAAGAAATGGACGAGCAGGAAGATGAACCATCCAACACTAGAATTGACCTAACAATCGGAGACAAAAACGAATTAACAGAGGCTCAAGAACAAAAACCTATCGAGGAAGTAGAGGAAATAGAGAAAGTAGAGGAGGTAGAAGAGCCAATGATCGAAAAGGAGGACATCGAAAACTTCAGTCAACAAATAATTCTATTAGAAACACCAGCAAATTCTCAAATAGACCTCGAAAAAGAAAAATCACCAGTTAAAGAAATCATAAACAAATTTAATGATGAATATAACAAATCAATGGAGAAACCACCAACAAAAATAAAAAGGTTAGCAACATTAAAATCAACTGGAATAATCCCAACCAATAATGGAAAGGTTATAAAATCAACAATACCAACACCACCAAAACCATCAAAATTACCAACAAAACCATTGCTGCCCCCAAAGAAAAAAAAAATCATCACAACTGAAGCAATCGATGAAGAAAAGGTTAAGGAGTTTAATCTAAAACTCCAAAGCAAACAAAAATAATCTCATTAATCCAGGGTATCGATATCGACAAAGACTGCAATTTCAGTGCTAAATCTAAACAATACCCACCTAGATATTATCACAATGACAGAAACAAATTTAGAAAAAGAGAAAGAAAAGAATATCTTAGGAAATAGAAATTACCATTCAGCACCAGCTGAAGGAAGGGGCTCAGGTATATTACAAATAAACAACAACAAACAAATAAAAACACAATTAATCAAAAGCAAAGGAAGATTACTCATCACTAAAGCTCCGAACCGCATCAGTTTTCAAAAAAAAAAAAAAAATTTCACAACTAAATAAAAAAGTCTTAAAATCTAAAATCTATTCAAAATAATTTTATAATAAAGCTTTTTAATGTTAAAATTTTTTTACCCCCAAATTATTTTTTTTATATTTAATTTTTATTTTTTTTTTATTTTTTTTTTTTTTCATTATTTTATTAAAATCATCTAATTAAAATACATTCACAATTACCCCACTCACATTAACCCACAATAAATTCGATACAAATTCAATAACAGTAATTTAAATTATATAGAAAAAAAAATAAAAAAATAAAAAAAAAAAATTATAATGACATTTAAATAATTTATAATAATTAAAAATATATTTCATTATAAAAACATTGTTTATAATTATTTATACATAAATTTTTATATAAGGTTGTTGTAATTGCGATTGTAGTATAGTTGGTTGTGGTTATAGAAGGTATTTTGTGTATTGTGAGTATTGTTGTTGTCGTAGAGTCTGTTGTGGATCATTTAATTGCACTCTTTCTTGTTCTCGGATATGATATTGACGAATTTGTTGCATCCTTAATGCAGTTTGACGTTCTAGCTCTTCTGGGGTTGGTTGGGTTCCAGTTTGAACAATTTGCCATACATTTGGTTGGGTTTGCTGGGTACTCAAATCATGGAAATTTGAGTGGGTTTGAACGGTTTGCAAAACATTTGGTTGGGTTTGCTGGATACTCATATCATCGAAATTTAGTTGAACTGGATAACCATTATTGAAGTTTGGATATGTATTAGCTTGGACATAATCAATTCGAAGAGTATTGAATGATCTAGAATCATCTAAGAGATTAGATGGACCGCAGTTAGAATCAGAAGATTCTGAGACAATAACAAGTCTTTTTCTTGAATAACAGTAATTTGATGGATCTGTTAATTTATGGATAACTTTTTGTTTTGGGGGCACATTTACTAAAGTATCAAAGCAAAGAACTTCATTAGTTGGTGGTAATGTTTCTTTTTTAATAATCTAGATTATTAAAAAAGTTGCATGAGTGAAGCGCATTCCATAATGGTTAAAAAAAAAAATAAAAAATAAAAAATAAAAATAAAAATAAAAAAAAACAATATATTAGTATAAAGCTATAAGAAAAAGAAAATATATTTTAGAATAATTACCTCTGGAAGGCAATCATAAGACATTTTTTAGAAATTATAAATTTTCTTTGTAAAGAAGAATTTATTGATAAAAAAAAATGAAGTGAAAAGAAATATTTAAAAGCAATTATAAAAAAAATTATAAAAAAATAATAATTAATATTTATTTAATCATCCAAAATTAATTGCATTGTCTATTAACAATAAATACATACTTGTTTTTATTATTGTTATTATTTGTATGTTTTTTTAAAAAACTTAAATTTTTTTAAGTTGTTGTATTCTATTTTTAATTTTTTTTTTTTATTATTTCTTTTTTTTCATTTAATTTTGTTTCCATTATAATCTAATATGAATGATTATAAGAAAAGAAAAATAATATGATGATTAATGGAATATAATAATATGTGAAATAAATTTTTAGAGCACAAACACACAACAAACACACAACAAACAAAAACAACACACAACACACAACACACAACACACAACACACAACACACAACACACAACATACAACACACAACACACAAACACCCAACAGACACAATAAAAATTGAAATGGATTGAAAGTTAAGTAGATTGGAATTTTATTGAAAATAAAAAATATATAGCTGTATTATATTATTTAATTTGTATTGATATCGAATAACGAACACTACTGTTTGTAGAAAAAAGGGATGGAACATCAACACAAATCTATTAAATCGAATTTGTTTTCTTTTTTATTTATTTTAAACAATAATAACAATAATAAACATAATTTAATTTAATTAAATACTAAAATTGTTATTATATTTTATTATTATCTTTATTTTTTGAGACAAAATAATATTGTGTTTGCTAATTTAATATAAAAAACTTTTAATGCTTCCTAATATATCAAATTTTTTTTTTTTTTTTTTATTTATATTTTTTTAATTTTAATTATAATTAAATCTGTTATTGCTTCATTATAACATCATTTTATCAAATTGATAATAGTATAGAAAAATGTGTGATGTTCTGTGTGTGAGTTTGTTGATGTTTGTGTGTTTGAAAAAAAATTTTGTTTTTTTTTGGAAGCTCTATATATGTAACCACCAGTGTTTTTTATTTATTTTTATATTTTTTAATTGGTTGGCTGTGTGAATGATTTGTTGAAATTATAAAAAAACACATTGGAACGATAAAAAATAAAAACAAAAATATGATAACCGCAATAAAAACAACAAATACAAAACATAACCTAATAAACTGTGAACGTTACTTTGTTTAGTATATCTACATAGATAACACATACCAATTTCTTTAAATTAAATTATTTTTATAAGAAAAACAAAATTTAATAAACTTTATTACATATTTTTTATTTATAAAACTATTTTGTTGTTTTGCAAAAAAAAATAAAAATTAAAATATAAAAATAAAAAAAATTTTCATTTTTTTTTTGAAAAAATAATTTAATTTAAAGGTTGAAATTTTTTTTTATTGCAACGTTAGCCGCCCAACCAATTATAAAGTAAAAAAGAAGCAGCATTATGGGCAATTTTCACAATAATTGAATTATGATTAGGAGTATTTGTGATAGTGGTAGTGGCAGTTGATTTGAGGGTATTTTTCATTTATGAGATAGAGACAGCATCAGTTTCATCAACCTCTTTTATACATATAAAGGTATTTATTATTACTGCTCTTATTATTTGTTAATATGGATTATTTATTGTTCATTTTTTTAAAAAAAAATATATAAATATTTTTATTTATTATTAAATTGTTTAAAAAAACAGCAATACCCATCTTTAATATTCGAGAATTACCCAAAAATGTTTTTTATTATATCAAAATAATAAATAAATATATTTGTTTTATATAATTTTATTATTATTAATTATTACATTATAATAATATGATATTGTGGATGTTGAAGTTACCATTTTAATTTTTTATAAAAATAAAAAAAATAAAAAATAAAAAATAAAAAATAAAAAATAAAAAATAAAAAATAAAAATTTAATTTAAATAAAAAATATTAATTATTATTTAATAAAAATACAATTAAAGCAATGTATTAATGGTTTTTATTTATTATAATTAAAAATACACGATTTATATGAAGGATTTTTTTGATCCAAAATTTTAGGAAAAAGGATCCGGATTT